AAACCCGCTTATTTCATATTTGGCGCTCATACTGATGAGAAGACATTTTTCGTTCTCAGTTATGCTATGACAATCAGTAAAAACGACAAATACGAAGATCACAGTTTTATTCGCATTATCTAACACGACAAGTATATAGTCAGCCCGTATTGACTAAACCGCACTGATTCCTGTATGAGGTGTTTTTAGTTATACTTATTCCCTTGCTCACGTGTAGCCATTTTAGCAGATCCATTCCAACTTCGCTACCTACATAACTATCTCCATTTACTCATCCACAGAAAATTCCCGTAGGTTGGCCGACGCGTCCGTAGACTTTAACGGGAAATTAAATAGCTCAGCAGACTTTGCAGATGTAGAATGATACCAGGTCCTTTCTATTTTATTCTAAAGCGTCTGATTCTTATTTACCCCTCTTTTAGTACCTACCGGTTGACATGATCGTCGTAATGCCAGTTCCACCACACTTTACAAAGCAACTGCAGGACATTGTTGTAGAAGAGGGCTCACGGGTAGTGCTGGAAGGTTCCGTCGAGGGTAAACCAACACCCGCCATCTCCTGGTACCGTGCCAACACTCCCCTCACAGCGTCACCTGATTTCCGCATCGAGTACGTTGACGGCACGGTCCGCCTCACTCTCCCAGAGGTAAGAAAGACAGACTGACTACTGAATACTTGTAAGTAGAAGGTTTATTGTTGTTACTAAACTGTAAAACTGGGGTATTTATTTTATTTCTCAGATGACTGAAAATGAGACTGGGACTTACACCTGCGAAGCCACCAACCCTGCCGGTAGGGCCACGAGTTCAGCTAATCTGTCCATCCGCGTGAAAGCCCTGGCACCGAAGTTCATAAAGGGTCTTGAAAACGTCACTATCCCTGAAGGAAACACCATTCGATTGATTGTCAAGACAAGCGGAAAACCGAAACCGAATGTAAAGTGGTAAGTCCCCACGTGGCGTGGTCTTTTAGCTGTCTATCAAGGATGCTCATCTTTCGTTTAAAATGTAAACTCTTGGCTGAGAAAGTTTGCATTTAAAGTGATATTTGCCTTCTGAAGGCCTGAATTTCCGTCGCGAACTACTAACTAGCAAAACCTCTACCTTTTAGGCACGTAAACGGTAAGCAGATCATCAGTTCACCGGACTACGTTTTGGAGGAATTCCCAGACGGTGTCCAAACACTCACCATTCCGAGGTGTCTCCTTGGTGACACCGGTCGGTACACAGTCACCGCTGAAAACGAAGCCGGCGAAGCCATCACATCAGGCACTGTCACTGTTCTCGGTTCGTCCTGAAGACGCTGTGATTCTTATATTCATGCTTCAAAACACATTTTTCAATCGGTAACAACATACCGCCATCGCATGAAATGCCAACTAAAATTCTAAAATGTGTTTTCGATTCGAAAAAAGTACTTGAGTACGGTTGTGAAATCAGCTATCATGCAGCCTATTTCGATCACGTCAGGATGTCGGCTTTTGGATGAGGTTAAAACGGCCAATTAAGTAGTATGCAGTTTTTTCCAATACTTTTTAATGCCCTCATAAATACACACATATATTTTATAGAAAACATGCGTGAAATATTATTGTGTACACATTTGGAAGCAAATTACGCCTTCTTCAGATTGCATACTTGAAAAAGGATACCTTGTGCTCAAAGCTTTTTTCAATGGCTGAATATTTTTAAAGCCAACCTACCGTTAAACTTGCATTCATGATTTCCACACCACATATTGTATACAATCCATCTAAGGAAAATTTGACATTTCGCTATCCCATGAGCAAAAGGTTACATTGTGCTCACAAACTTTTGCATTTGACATAGAAAATATTGTTACCATGACAGGCACCATTAATAAATTGTTAGATACGATGTACAACGAATGAACATTTCCCAAAAGATATACATTTTTCAAGGATAAATTCTAAAGAAGACATAATTTTCTGCTAAAGGGGTACAAGGAAGAATACTATCATGCATGTTTGCTATAAAATGTAGTTGTATTTATAAGGGCATCGACATTTTATGAGAAAAATGCATATAACCTAAGTAGTCGTTTTTACGTTGAGTGTACGCTTTGCAGACATCCTGGCGTGACTGAACTATATGGAGCGTCTTGTGTATGGCGATTACTTTTATAACCCTATTTAAGTTATCTTTTCGAAACGAAAGCGTATTTCTGAATCTCGGTTGACGTTTCATGAAATAACAAGCTTACCAGGGTTTTTTTAGCATGCTCAGGTTTGCAAAGAGCACTATATCTACACACAACGATTTTAGTACATAAATGTTCAAATAACCCCCAAATAAGCGCATACTTTTTACCAATCCTTCTCGCAGAACCGCCGAGGCCTACGATGCCCGCTCCAGTGGATCAAGTCACGCGAACTGAACTACAAGTTCCGCTCGCAACTCCGCCAGTGGGCGTTGTCATACCA